TCAATTGAACAGTTATGAGATTTATCAGTAGTGTTTGTAGCCAGGGTGCAATTATGCTCTCTGGCCTCAACCTGGAGCAGAAGAAGCAACGGGGAGGAGGGGTGTTGGCAGTAAGGCTGACATTCTCTCTCATTCCAACCAGGGTCGGAAAGAGTAATTCGAAGATTGGAAAAAGAACCGTCGAATTCGTGTGAATGCATACATATACATGTGTGTTACGTGAATATTATCTATTTTTTTTTGTTAAAAACGTGGATACCTGTTATTCGCATGAAAAATATTTTTAAGCCCTATCGAATGGTATTAATGAAAACGACTCAATTTGTAATACTTATCACAGTATAAAGCTTACTCGATGGATTCCTATATCAGATATTTAATACCCATGTTATATTCTTTTTAAAAATATTTTTGTTTCGTTTTTTGAACTTATTTGTATGTAGGCTTTCTGTAATACCTACTATTGTAGTATATATGATACGAAATTGACGGAAATCCAATATGGATTTCAGTGCATGAATACAAATAGTAAATGTTGGCAGTATTTTATTTTGTTTAAGTATCGATATGAAGTTAAGATAGTATACCTATAGAACACTGAATAGGGCACTAGGTATAGGTATACTATCGCATGCATCGCATATCGCAATAAATATAAGTCGCATGTCGGTACAAATGGTCCGGCTTGAGTCGAGTAACACCAGGGCCTTACAGAAAACCGACATGAAATAACGCTTGCGGTGTATCGTGTAAGAGGACCAGAGGCCCAAAATCGCCTCCTTGCGCTACCGATCCCAAAAATTTAATTTTGGATCCTAAAAATCTTAAATCTAAAAGGACGAGACGAGAACGCACTTGTAACTTGACGTTGCGGGTGACGCCGTTTGCTTGCCACCAGTAAAATCACCTGCTCGTTTGCAGACATATACCCCTAAAAAAACTTGGACTTTACGAACTTTCAGGAGTTTTTCTTGTCTTTTAACGATTTTGTTTGGCAGTGTTTCCAAAGATTCTCTTCTAGAAGGTGCACAAATAAATTATATCAAGGTGTAGGTATTGCCTCTTTTTTTTAAGCCTATTACCTATTACCTTCCTATTTACTATGGAATTTAGGGATCCAAGTTAGCCTCTTAAACTTTTCACCAATAGATATTTGAAGCTCGATTCGTTATGCATTGTGTAACACATCGAGATTTGATTTGGTGACACTTAATTAGATATCGAGAGACGATCTCCGGCCAAACCTGGGCAAGCTACTGGCTACGATTTTTGGTTAACAGACACATAAAATGGAATAAAAGAAACAAGTTATGGGTCTCACATATATTTATTTCTCCATATACATATGTATAATTTTGCGAATCCACTGTGTCCCGAGACGCAGCGCGGGAATTTTTACAAAATAATTGTCGTCTACAAACTTCTACATTACATTCACACATCGCCCCGCCAGCCATATTGCGTCCGCCATTTTAATTGCACTAAAATAATTATTATTAAAGCTAGGGCTTTACATAATTGATATTTCGTTCTTAGCAACAAAATACGTTACGCTAAATGGCGAGTCGTCACAATTTTTGTACTCGTTACAATGCAAGAAAATAAGCAATTCATCATTATATTCGGGGCACTGTTGATCGGAGAGAAAAAATTTGGCGCGAACTCTTCGCGATGAAAATTTTATATATTTTCGGAGATCGAGTTAATTAAAAAAGTTTCGTAATTGAGTGACGGATCCATTAGGCACATTATATTTCCTCGACTTCATTTTTAAACGTCACATTGGAAATATTTAAGTACTTCGGTCAGACGACCGTTCCATTTTAACATGAGCTTCCAAGCAACAATACCCACACTGGCAAGCGAACAGTGTTAATTAAATGTAAACATAAACATTACAATTAATCGGCATTCATGTACAAAAACAATTAACAACAAAGAAATCCATGGTGTAAACTACATACATTGAAAATACACAAATAAAAATTAAGAACACATAAAAATTAGATGGTAAAATCAGTCTTAACATACCGAACATAGGTATCAACGATGATTTTATTAGTGAGACATGCGCGCGTGTAAAAACAACCATTTGTACTAAATAATGGAATAGACAGCACCTTAATATGGCATTATAATATTACTAAATCATTGAACACAGTACCACGAACTTTACGAAAAGAAAAAGTAAAAACATTGCTCATTAGATATTCTTAGAAATAAGATAAAATCACTGGTAGTTCACAGGTTTTATGTGATATTTTAATCTGTGGTAGTTACGCGGTACTGCAAAGGTTATTCGACATAAAAATATTCCTAGTGGCAGAATGATACAATACCTAAGCCTAACAATGCAATACGAAAAACTGTACAAGAGATCGTAATGTGCGTTCGGAAACGTTTACAAATGACACGAAAAAAGAAAAGAAAAAAATATAAAAGGAATGACAGTAACGATTAAAATTATTGTTTTTGATTTAATTTACGCAGCGATTCTAATATTTAAAGCATGTTGAACAAGCCGCCATGCTCTCTAGCGTGTAAATGTTCGAACGTTGCTATACACGATTCATCAACGAGTATTAAATTTTCACTATAACCTCAATTTAACAATTACTCTCATTAACTCTACGTACGTTTCGTATTTTATTGTATTCTTTATTTTATTCCTCATTATAGCTAAGTGAAACGATTGGCAGTTACGAATGTCAGCGGCCGATTACCCGACCGAATTCACACGTACTTACATTAAGTTTAATTCCTTTAGATATGAGCCACACTTCATTTGTTCGCATATCTACGTATAACGTTTGAAAACTGTTTCAACTTTTATATTCCCTAGTTTCATACAAGCTCAAATTTAACTTATACGTAGGTAGATCGATATAAGTAGGTATATTGTATAAAACGAGTGAAAAACGTAAAAATCTTATACATTTACTATGCAAGGGAATTACGGTAAAAGATTAAATAACATACTACACTTAAAGATAGCTTAAAATAGTGTTACAGAGTCGTGGCAGTCACGTTTGAGTCACTCGAACTGTCTCTAGTCGTCCATTATACCCACGTTTTAATGAGAAGCATAAATTAACGGAAGAATAACGCTCAAGGAAAGAAAATTCTTGACATTATTTTTAAGCAAAAGAGAAATGTAAATAATTTCCCCTCCCTCTTACTTGGTACTTTGAAACTCCCCATGCGTTTATCGACGTTTACTGTTCATACCTATAACATCGTACAGTTTTACGATTCAAATACATTGAATCGTCATCTTACTTCTATATCATTACCACACCAAAACATATTTATCTAACTACATATAGATATGTCATCGAATCACGATCATCCTCTAGAAGCAAGCAAGTGATTGGTTCAAAGTAAATAAACTTCAAATAACCGTTACGTATTTGAAAAGCGAACTATTCTATTGTCTCTTTGTATTGCCAATAAAGAAAATTATAGTTTGGCTACTAGCATTTTTAGCATAGCGTTAGACAGAGACTTTATGTAAATGACACCTAATTTTTTTTTATAATTTACAATATAAACTGAAATTTGTTTGGCTAAATTAAGGTTAAAACGGTGTAACGTATGCTAAATATGCCGCTGGCCGCATGTACATGTCCGTCACGTCAACATGAATGGCTGGTTTAATTGGGCAAGATTAAAATTACAACGTAAGCAACATAAAATTATGTTGGACATTACAAATATTTACATAAAAACATTATGCACTATGCACAGGACAGACACAAAATTTCACACGACACAGCCGATTCGTCTAAATGTTCTCATATTATTATTTTATTGCAATAATGAAACGTGTTACCACAATTTACACTACTTAAACATATTTTAACACCCGATATGAAAAATAAACTTCTAATTACAGCTGCAATAACTATTTATACATTTTACAATATCATGTTTGTATATATGTTGTGACGATCAGAATTGAATATCATATATCGCATTAAGTTATCATTTAAGTATCTAAGCGCACTGTTCATTCACTAATGTTACCTTTATATGTTGATCGCAAATTATATATTTACGGCGTATCATTAAATACTTCTCAAAACTCTTTTTCGTAATATAAATGCATCTAAGTATTATTCAACTTTTTATATGGACTTTAACATTTTAACTGTTCCGATTTAAAGACAAAAATAGCACGAACATCTGCGTTAGGCGGGGGCATACTTAGTTACGTCAAGTTATGTTTACACTTTATAACCATCGCATCGTAAACGCTTTATACAACCGAACTAACACCACGTATCATAAGAATTTACGACTCATCATGAATATAGAGAACTTTTATACAGTACTCAGTCGCGTCAACATCGAAAACAGCCCTTGTAACGTATACTAAATATGCTCCCGACTTGTACTCTATCATAAGTTAGATAATAGGATAATAATTAATTATATTTATTACCCTTCCGACTCACAATCATGATTTTTAGTGGTCACAATCGTAAAATACATCATAAGTAGCGTTCCTAGGCACTCATACATGTTTAGCCTCTTATACGAAGTTGAAAATGACAGTCAGTCGATGTCACGGGTACATCACTACTATATTAGGGTCATATTCAGCGCGGGACTCTGTCGTTAGATATTCATTATCTGTGACGACGACTGAACAAAGAAGTATTGAATTTTTTATCTGTGGTGGCGGGAAATTGTGGAAAATGTTGACAACTATTCTGACTAGTTCGTAGTGATGTGAGATTGAGTTTAGATGTAAGTTCTATGTTATTTAATATTATTATTGTCTTCATTTTATGGCGGTGTAGATTAGAACATGTGCTGTACATAAAAAGTTTAATAAATTCATAATATTACTCAAATACTTTGAATTAATTAGGATCAATTTTAAATTAAATCATTCATTGCACATGGAAACAAAATATCAATTCTTTATAAAAAAAACATAAAAACTAACCTTTTATATGAATTATGCGAAATGCAAGTCAATACTTCTTCGTTCAAATTGCGATCGTATAGTTAAGTACATACGTCATATTTCCGCGCGACAGTGTCCCGTTAGGGCGCGTCTAGACGAGTATGTCTCATCGTCAGTTAGCGTAGTGGTCGAAGGAGCCGAGGTACTCCAGTGCGGCGCGGTAGCAGAACTCGTATTGATCCTGTTGGAAATTATGTAAATTAGAATAATGTTTCAAAAACAGAATACAATTTGAATTTAAAATAGGAACTCTTATGGGAGATTGGACTGACGGTGTGTAAGCTGTGTAATGTGTAAAAAGGTTTTTATTATTAAGATATCATAGGCTTCGATCTACCCTGGATAATTACGCTGGTTGTTATTTTAAGAAATAAATGAAAACTGGACTTTAATCATTTTTCTATAATACCTATCATAAGAATAAACTAATTGTGTAGTATATAGGGAGATATATACTTTCCTAAGTCAAAAATTCAAACTTTTAAATGCAATGAAATATTAAAAAATAATTACACTTTCATTACTTAACAGTTACTATATAATATTTTTTTATCAAAATTTTTCTAGGTAGCTTTTTAAGATAAGTAACTTGACGTCACAACACAGTTTTGTACGAGTTTCATAGAAAACTGTCAATTCCATACTAGTATTGAATTTGACTAATTGGAGGCATCCAATTGAGACTTTTCCCGGTTTTGCAATAGCAATATAGTACTGGGGACCCGGATTGAAGCAGGAGAAGGAAAGGGGGGGTTTTAGTCAGTAAGAGACAAAAAGACATTATGAGTCAAAATCCAAAAAAAAGTTTAAAATACAGACAAGACAGTTGAAAAGGTATAAAAGTATTTCAGAGCGCATTTTTTGTACATGTAGATGCCTACATAGCAAGAAGGGGTAGTGTAACGTTTGCGAAGGTATACTGCATGCACGCCTGTCAACACCTCAGCGACCCATTTCTGTCCGACAGGTCTTTGCAAACATAAATCAACGTGTACACTGCGTTGAACGTAAAACACTAATTATGCTATTATAATTAAGCCGCTATTTAAAGGCTACATACCCTATTTTGTGCTAAGGAAATGTTTCAAGTTTTTGAAGGTATTTTAGAATATATTGGTAAGGACAAAATATGAATCACAGAAATGTATCGTATAGGGAAAGACTTGCGATATAGCTAACACCTCAATTGATAAATATGTTTTTGTAGAACTATTTTTTACTGCACCATTGGCGAAATAGATTAAGTTAGATAACTGCTACTAAACGTGTCGCGGGTTTGACGACGCACGGAACAATTCTTGCTTTGATCCACCAATTGTTGTTCCAGGTCTGTGTTAATGCACACAAAATGACAAGAAGTTGGTACAAAAGGCGGACTTAACACACCATATAGCATTATCTAGAGAAATAGGTATGCTAATTTTTTATGTGAATGGGCAGACGAGCCGACTGATTACCTGCCGCACATGGGCATGGGCACCAACAACGGAGCAGTTACGAGTGCGTTGCCGATCTTTTGGTATTATTTGGGAAGGATCGGAGCTTCGGTCTTCGGTAATATGATTGAGTCATAAAAGGCACAGGATACTTTTTAAACAGACAGTAAGAAAAAGAGACAAAGTAAATATGATATATACCTCAGTCTGCACCATGGCTGGGCGCTGTGTGCGTAAAGTGCGCACAGTCTGGAATACGTCGACTACTCCCTCGTACTGCATCCTCTCCAAAACCGTTGACAGAGTGATGAACACTCCAGTGCGACCGACTCCCGCGCTACATAGAAGGAAAAACATCGATAATTATATTTGGATATGAGACTATTGGACTAGTGAACAAGTAACGTAATCAAATAAACATATATAGAAGAAAAAGACTTCGTTCTCACCTGCAATGCACAGTGATGGGACCGTCCTGTCCGAATTGTTCTTTAGTCTTGTGTACTTGTCCTAGGAAGTCGATGAAGCCCTCTCCACTCTTCGGTACTCCCTGTTCTGGCCAATCAGTGAACTGGAACTGACGGACCGTCCTGGATGACCCATCGCGAGCGTCCGTAACCTACAATAAAAACATGATAAAGCCAATTCTTTTAAGAAATAAATAAATATATCTTTTTCTGACGACACTAAAACATTAGTAGTTTCAATAAAGTCATCAATTTGACTAATCGGAAAGAACTAGAATTCATGATGTAAAATAAAATACATTTTGTTTGACGCAGTCGCGCATGCAACTACTCTACTGGGAGGTTATAAAAACAATTTTATTATTAAAATAATAAAAAAAAAAACACTTTCACAAGAAAAGCAAATGACACCAGCACTAAGTCCACAATGTTCAAAGTTCAGTAACAAGGTATTGGAAAACTGAAAGTTAGATCCATAAAGTTTTATCAGATATTCAAGAATTTCAATTTGTTTGTGAATACGTACCTTGAATTCCCTCAAGATGTACTGGGGCATGTTGTACTCCGCGATCGGGTCCACGACGAAACATTGGTATCGTACCGAACGGTCCGACGGCCAGTATTGGTGGCATTTTTCCTAAGAAATACATACAAATTGTTAGATAACTTTCAACAAAGTAAACATAATATTTAATATAGATGGAATAATACTCACTCGGCCCATCTCCTTCAGTTTGGTTAACATAACGATGATCGTAGAGTTGTGTTCCCATAACATTCTCCAGAAATCATCGGTCGTGTCTGGCAAAGGTCCTTGAGTAGCAATATAAGCTGCTCGGTACCTATAGCCGTCCACAAACGACGCGTTGATATAATCAGATCCATCACGAGGAGTCAGACACACTCGGGTCGACTCATACGGCAAGATATGCACCAATCTGTTCTTATGCTTGTTGCAAGGTAGACTAGCAGATACGAATCGACTGGAGTCAGCTTTCATGTTGGCCAACTTCTTGAATTCCAATTCCATTCCAGTAATATTTTCAATAGGGTCTACACGCATAAGCTTTTGAATGTGTGCATGCAAATTGCGGGCTGGCACCTCAGTGTCTCCGCAAATTACAGCTTCGAGTAAAGCGTCGTGTATGAAAATATATTGGTCCTCCGTCTGCACCATGTAGTTGCGCTGAGCTCGCAAGCAAGTTACATGGCCGTAGATATCAACGGTGCGCTCATGGCGAGCTCTCTCCAACATAGAGTCGATTACGATGAAGCAACCCGTGCGGCCAACTCCAGCTGAGCAATGCACCACCAATGGACCAGCATCAGGCGGGTTCAGAGCCCGAACTCGTCGCAGGAATTGAAGGAACGGTGCAGGATGATCAGGAACTCCGTGGTCTGGCCAAGCAGTGAACTGTAATTGTTTGATTTCACGACGCTCGCTGCTGTTTCCATTCCGTTCCACTTGGAAGGTTCGGATGCAATAGGTAGCGAGTTCTTGAACCTCTGCGATAGTTACAGTCATCATTCCATAAGTCTCAGTTCCCCTGCTTGGCCAGTACTGATCGCATTTGATTCTTGTTCTCTCTTCTAGCTTAGTCATCATGACGATAGTTGAAGTGCGAAGTTCCCAACACATCCTCCAGAAGTCTGCCAGAGTTTCTTGTAGAGGACCTTGAGTAGCTACGTAGGCGTTATGTTTGCGGTAGCCATCGCAATAGTTCGCATTTATGTAGTCACTTCCAAGTATGCCGTCGATTGGCTGAAGGATAACGCGGCTATGGTCATAGGCTATAACATTAGCGTAACGGTTTTTGGGTTTGTTAACTTCCATATTTGAATGATCCCAAGTGAACTGCTGGCCAGGTTCAATACTTTCATATTCTTGAGAGAATTTGAGGTTGTCATTGGTTTTAAGTCTTTCAATATGCTCCGACAATTCCAAAATAGGAATAGGAGGATGGGAAATCATAGCTGGTGTTTGGAAATTCAATCTCCTCATTTCGACAGGATCAGATGGCGCTCCGAATCCAACGTCTGCTGACATTAACGGTCTCGTCACCGCTGCCTGGTCAGGGGCCTTACAGGGCTGGCGTCTTCTCTTGAATATGAATAAGACTACCAAACAAAGCGAGAGCATCAATGCAGCAATGATTGGACCGATAACCCACACCATGCCAGCTTCCTTCCTATTCTCTTCTATCCTTATTTCAGGATCACCATGTATATCTTTAGGATCTGGCCTGCTGGGTTCTTCACCGGGAGGCGCTTCACGCATATCTAGTGACAAATATTCTGAAAATGGACTGGACGTATATAAATGTTTTTGAGGAGTATCTACAACCGCACGGACGAATACTCGATACTTTTTGCTAGGGTTCAATTTTCTGTTCAAAAAGCCTTCATACATTTCATCATTACCAAGATGGAATGTATACAGGATATTTCGTTGTAGGAATTTGGCAGCAATATATGGTGCGTTTTCATCATCTGTTCGAACATTATTTTTAATTAAATCGTCTGTTAGGAACTGATCCGGATGCTTATGATTATGGGCTTTATCATCAGGCACTACAACTAGATAATAATGCGATATGGGTCCATATTCTTCAGAGGCTTGAGGTAGAATGACGAGTATTTCATTTTCAACAACGCCATAAAAATCAGGCTTCACCATCGGTTTAGGCGCTGCCATCTGCGTGGTGACGGTAATCTTCGTTGGCGGTCGGTAAGAATCGTCATTAGGTATGGCACTTACATTAACACTATATGTTGTAAACGGAGACAGATCATTTATCGAATACGATGTTCGATCATGTTTCACAATGATTTCCCTCCTTGGTATTTCTTGCGTTTGCGTCATACCAAGAGAGTCAACAAATTCTTTAATTGCATTGTAGGAAATCTTATAACTAACGGGGTTTAAGCGTAACGGAGGCGACCATGACAACGTCATGGAATGGGTGGACACATCTTGAGCCCGAAGATGCAAAGGCACTTCTTCTGGTCTGACCTTCACAGTAACCTTTTCCGATAGCCTTCCAAGACCATCTGCCGTTCTGGCAGCAACAGCGATAGCATATTCTGCGAACTTTTCCAAATTGTCCAAATCAGCAGAGTGTGTAACATGAACGCTTTTTTGTTGCCATTCATCGAGATCCTCGACTGGCGTCATTGTGTAGAATATGACGTAACCAATGATCTTCTTTCTAGAACGGAATGTTTCCCACCAAACTTCTACACTTGATTCTGAAGTTGCAACGGCTTTAACTGACATGGGGGCCCTACCGATGTCTCTTTCAGTGTGAGCCGTCATGTCTTTACTGTACGGTCCAGCTCCTTGATCAGTGTATGCTCTGACTTTGAACACATAATGCGCATCTTCTTCCAAACCAGTAAACACAGCTTTTGTTAATTCCGTTGTCTTCTCAGCAACAGAAGATTGATCTCCTCTTTTGAAAAACTGTACATCATATTTCTTAATCTGCCCACTTCTGTCAGCACGGATCGGAGGTTCCCATGTGATACTGATGATGTCTGGCGTTTGGAAGCGGTACGTGACATTCGTCGGAGGCCCTTTCGGAGCACCTTCAGGTGTGAGCCAATATTTGATTGTCTCTTGGCCTATTCCGATATGGTTCTTGCCTGCTACTCTATACTCATATTGGACGCCTCTTTCTAAATCATTTATTTTATACGAATGTATTTTAGTACCCGGGAAATTTACTTCTTCTAGAGGTTGATCTTTTACCCCATATCTAAGTCTATACCCGAGTAAATCGCCGTATGTTTGTGATGGCTTACTCCATTCCAATTCTATTGATACGACGGGCTCCCTTTCCAAAACCCTGCAAAGGAAATAGCGGTTCGTTACAGATGTTCAAAATGTCGTCAGAATGTAATATGATTCGATAAATAATTTCAACTCACTTCAGGTTGACGGTAGGCCTGTTTGGCACACCGCCAGGCGTCTTCACAGACACCGGCGTACTTCGGTCACCGTCCCCCTTCCTCGTCAGAGCCGCCACTTGCACGTTGTACCGCGTATCCGGTTGGAGCCCCGAAACGTTCAATTCGAGAGTTGTGTCGTCCATTACGTTAAACCGCATTGGGTCGTTAAGAAGTCCTTTGCCCTATAGAAACAAGATTTTGGTTTCATATTTCTGACGAAATGGAATAAAATTCAAGGAAATGTGGCGGTGTAGACTGCTACTTCTACTTACTTCGTCTCGCACTTCTTGCACATGGACGTGGTAACCTCGGATAATTCCGTTTTTCTCTTTTTCTTGTGGGGGCTTCCATGTGACATGGATAGACGTGGAGTTGATTGCCACGACCTTCACGTCCTGGGGCTCTCCGGGTACTGTGAGCACACAAGGTATATGTGAGATATCTGAGCCGTACCTGTTTGCAATTCGACCTAAATTGCCCTATCAGCATCTACGGGAGCGTGCTAAAAATCTACCTAAAGCGACTCTCAAGGGTCTATAAATTGGAATTAAGCTTCGGCGTCAAAGGCTTGTCAGTTAAGCGCTGCAGTATTCATTTATCGAACGTAGTATTGTTAATTAGTGCGGTCGGTAATCGCCGTCGTTGATGCTGATAGAGCATTTTTGGTCGTGGCGAGTGTCTACACACGCCAGTCAGCATCTCGATCGGGCATTTGAATACCAACACACACTGAGACATTATCATTTACGCCCTTTCACATCACCATAACCAATTAAAATCCATTACCTTCCAATCCACATCGTATAGAACAACTAAAATCGTCAAGCATTTACAAAGAGTCAACATTTAGTAAGTATTAATCTATAAGTTTCCAAAGCAGCGTTTCTATATCTAAAATCCTTAATTCACACACTGCAAGGGATCATGCTTCGGGACGTCAAGACTTGGGGGTTTAAATTCAAAATTAAATCACAGGAAAAAAATGCACACCAAGTCTTCGGAAATCATCAAAAATGTCGTCTACGAAGACATGCTTTCAGAGGTAACCGCTTGCAGTTTGTTTCAAAGTAGTTAGATTAAGGAGCTAGGAAGATTTTCTACACAAAGCTTTAGGCACAAGCACAAACGCACATCGAAACAAGCACTATAGTAATTGGTACTCACTCCTTATAGCTGTACGGGTTACCAGCGGCCCATACAAAGTCAGTGACGAGAGAAAAAAGAGAAAAACGCATTCAAATACATTTAAGACAAATTGTGCGAACATTGCAGGGCGAACGGAACTACTAAGTGAGAGATTACGAGTAGAACGCTTGTCGGCGAAATGGGGGGCACTCTTATTTTATTTCCTCGTGTATTTTGAGCTCTTTAGGAGGCGCATTCGGTTTAAGCCGCTTGGGACGCCGGTCTAGGTTCGCGTGCATTGCCTTTTTCTGTTCGCAACGCGGGGCAAACGGGAATGGAAATTTTTATTTCATGAATAGAGTGAAAATGTGTGGAGTTTTCTTTCCACTATGCATTTTTTCCGCGGAGTTGAGCTTACATGAACATTGAATGATGTTAATTGTTTTAGGCGACAGAAAAAGGCAACGCGCAAACATTCAGAAACCGTTCGTCGTCCGTCGGTGCAGAGAAGTCACTCACACGCACATGTATTGATTAACGCGACGGCGCCAGTCTATGTGTGTGTGTGCTTCTATTGTGTAGTTCTGTCAATGTGCGCCTTCGTACCTTCTGTGTGTGTGATGCCTCGAACCTCGTGTATCCTCTGTGATGTTTGTATCAGTGTCAGAGTGTCCATTGGCTGTGCTCTTCAATAACTCGTCTGATTGTGTCAACAAATTCGGATCTTGTACTTGTACTTAACAGGAGTGATTGATGTCTGGTATATCACGCAGCGTTCTTAGAGCCCCGCCCGTTCGTTGTTTACGGCAATAGCGAACGTTAGGCATAATAGTATTTTGTATTATGTCACAATATCTAGTGTGCATGCACGACGAAAGTCTGATAGAGTATACAGAAGAAGGAAGAGAGGCGAGAGTGAAATTGCTACTGCAAAGAAGTTGTAGCACAAGAGCAAGTGAGATAGATAGAGAGATAGAGATAGGAAGAGAAGGAGCGCGTAGTCTAGTAACCGAGCTGAGCAGTCGGGGAGTACAGGCGAAGAGTGTCGCGGACCTATCCCTGGGATCCGACGCGAGGGTAACCAATCGGGTGCATCGGTAGGCACAGGTGGAAATTTTGACGGTGGATCCTCGGGACGAGGCTTCGACCCGCAGCCTTCCCGCTAATAGTACATAGTAGTCAGGACAGTACAGTGAGTAAAGAAGTAGTAATTGTGAGTAGTTCAGTAGCATGCGCGCGTGTCGTGTGGGGACGGTATTGGTATTCAAATGCGGCGCTCGGGCCGTGGTGCGTGTGGAGCGGTCCGCATGGCACGCTGCCGGGCCGGCGCGCTGGCCGCCTGGCTCGGCCCTGCGCCGCGAGCGCCGCCAGCCAGTCGCCAGCCAGCGCTCGCGGCGCAGCGCAGCGCTCCACGCGCCGACCTGTGCAGCGGCCATGCCGTGGTGTGACGCACTCGCTCTCTCACCTCGTGTCGTCGCTAGTGGTGCTGAGTGAATCCTAAAAGTGCAGTATTTACCTCACGCAATCAATAACGCGCATGGCAGCGGTAATTGCGTGCAGTAAATCATGAAACCTATCTGGTGCCCAGTGAAAACTTAATTGAACGAAAAACGGTGCGGTGTCGGTAAAGAAAGCATGCAAAATTGTGTCCATTGCTAAATACTCAACAACTGTGCGCCAAATCAATAATATAACGGTGCCGTCGACACTATACCAGGTGCATTATAAACTTTGCATTTCAGTGAGTGCCATCTTAACGAGACGATGACGAATCATGTGACGCGTCACCAAAAGAAATCATTACATGTGACAAGTGAGTGGAAATGTCAACTCTATGCCGCTGTGCACAGCGACTATAATACAGTGAAAACCAAATGATCGTCTGTGACATGATTAAAGATATACATTTAAATATTATCGGCAAGCATAGTAATACTTTTGTTACGAGAACTGAACCTCCTTGTTTAGAATCCTGCTATGTGCTCACAAAAAAGAAACAAAAGAAAAAATGACATTAGTATATTTGTAGTATTGTAGCGCATCGAGTCTGCTAATGTGATTATGAACTATCTCGTCATGGTATTAATGATTCATTTCAAATAGCCCACCACCAATGTTACCACCACTTTACATATCAGAACACATCACAGCCAAAATGGAATTGTGTTCAACAAACAAAGATATCGATAGTATCCAGGACAATTCTCATGAAATTGTATCCCACAGTTCCATTTTGACTGGTCAAATAAATTATATTATAAAATCATTCATATTCTTGTAGTGTCAAAGTATTAATAAAATCAAAAATTACATTTAAAAAATATTACATTTTGTAATATGAATAATTTTACACAACACTTTATACCAACTCTGTAGAATCCCATGGTTTTGTTAGTAAATATAGATGTATCATTAGAAATCAATTTCATCAATAATTATACTTATTTTCAGGAAATATTAATAAATGCAGTAACAGAGGATTTTCTTAACCCAGTGTAAAGTAATGTATGAAAAATTCATAGCTAATACAAAATAACGTTAAAATAAATTAACTTCCCAAACTCCTCTGTTATTACATAGCCAAAGAACTTTGTTAATTTGAAAGATAATTAAATTATTCATCAATTATTAGCAATTAATTCTTTGGCCCGGCATCAATTTTATGATTTCGTGTTTATAAAAGCGCTTTGGATTATTAAAAAGTTAATTTTTCAAGTTTTTTCTTGGAACATTGTTTCGCTTCGAAGCGAGCGAAGGAAGTCATAAAGTTGAGCCGACAACGAACAGTCCATAGATTAGTGTGTGTGGATGTGGTTAAGTGACACGTACCGTCTTCATGCGTGCGCACGGTGACCGGGTAGGAGGCGGGCCCGTCCCCCACGCTGGTGCCCGCCAGCACCCAGATGCGGTACTCAGTCCAGCGCCGCAGCTCGTCCAGTACAAACGAGGTCTGGTTGAGTTTGACCACCGTGGCCTCAGAGTCCCCCCTCCCAGATTCCACGCAAAGCAGCTTGTAGTAAGCAATGCGGCCGTTGGCGCGCTCGGCCGGGGGAGGCTGCCAAGACACGCGCACGGCCGTGGGCGACACGGCCAGCGCCGTCACATTCATGGGCGGCGCGCCGGGAACTACACAAGCTCGACTTCAGAGGGCGGACCCGGCATCCGGGACCGGGCCGCCCACCTGCAACTCAAAGGACGCGCGACCTCGGCCGCGCGTCGCGTTATACCCGACACACAGCCGACCTATCCGACGCAATCACTGAATGCGATTCAAATCAAAATAAAATGTGCCCAAAATAAAATGAAAAACAAAAATGACATCAGTCGTCAACATAAACGAGCATGCACATTTTGTTAGTGTGGTGTAATGTAGGATCCGCTCGCCCATACATCTCTAAGTCTCATCCGTCACACTTCCCCTGTTGGAAGAAAATTGTGATGATTATGTTCTAGCTCACGACGCGGAGAACACTAGTTTTTATCTCGGTGATAGATGACATGGCAGCCCGTGGCAATCTGATTGATGGATCCCGATGAATATAATGACAGTGAGCCAAGATTGACAAATGCCGTCCGCGTCGTCAGCGTTGGAATAAAAAAATGTCAGTCGAGGCGTTAACCTCGGATTCAAAAGTCTGTCCTACGAACAACATAAAGCTACTACTAAGGTACCGTGTACGCTTTCAATGAAGCGGTCGGTCGACAGTTTCGTTGAGCCGCGCAATCAACTTACGGCGTACACTTTACCGTTTCGACAAATTTACGATTACAAAACACATATTGTGATATAAAACTTGGTGCTTGTGCTGTATTACTGGCAGCGTGCCGGGCAGGTGCTCTTATGTGAAATATTACATTAGGAGTTACCTGGAATAACCACAATAGGTTCACTCTCTCATATTCTCAAAGCGATGATTGGGAAGGAGCCACTTTGAGGATTTGCACAAATAAGCGGAATATTGACTTCTTTATATGGAACACGAACACAAAGAAGCGTTTTAAAGGAATAGTTTTGGGAAGCGTAACGCTGCTGGAAGCGGGAGACATTGAACCGATGCATATTCCGCGTAGCATATTAAGGAGGCTGCATATTTTCGGTGGATGGCTATGAAGACATGGCTCATTCCCTCTCATCCTATCTACACTCACTCTCCACGAGACGTCACTCCAAGTGTGCGGTGTGGTGACATACCATATTGCTTGGTCCTGACGGCGATGGGTGGCGTGGTGGCCCCCTCGCCCCGCTGCGACCTCGCTGCCAGCCAGATGTAGTACAACGTGTTGGGGTACAGGCCGTTCAGAGTGTACGTTTCTGTTATTGGTATCCGCCTGAGAGGAGTTTTATGTTAGTTGGTGTGCTAAACAAAAGAGCTTGACAAGACCATAGTACAGTTCAAAACAATAATTACTTTTCGTATTTTATCACAGTGCCGGCGTAAGGGCCACTGACACCCCGGGCGAAAATATTGTGGCGTCCACTTGAGGGAAGCAATATGACTAGTTTTTTGATGATCGAATTGATATCGTTAGAATCACTTCTCGACCATAAACTAAATAGTAATCCCCCTGACGCCGGCACTGTTTTATCATGACATCAAAAACTATGAAGTTAATTCTTTGGTCCATCTAGTAAGCAGTTCTAGAAGGGCCTTATGAAACTTTCGAATTGGTCTACTAAGATAACCTTCGGCCCTAAAGGTTGGAACTATACTTCTTTTTAGAATTACATGTTTCCAAGACGTTAAAACCAAACCTGCATTTCTATACATTACCCAAAGGAAGACAGTCCAAAATTTCAATCAGATAAACTCACTTCCTATGATGTTCCTTAGCGTAAGTGTCGTTCCAGTACAACTCGTAGGATACGATGTTGTCTCCTGCATGAGCTGGTCTCCTCCAAGAGAGGGTCACTGAAGTTTCTCCTGCTTCCACGGCCACTAGGTTCGAAGGTTGTGATGGGACACCTATAGGTAGGTAAAATTGTTAGGTGTTATCATGTATTGTTGTAATGTGTTCTTAGTTTTTTACGGACTTACATTACGAAGCTTTTCACTGTACCAGCCTCGTGATGTCGGTCAAAATAAAATTAAAAGTACTACAACTAATTAACAAGCTATCACTAAAGAACTATAAATTAAAAACATTAAACAAAAATACTTTCATACAACCATTTTTTTAGATTGCAGTTATCTGAGAGTCCGTGGTATCAGTTTATATAAAACCAGCTACTGTACCGCGGTTTCACCCGCTGCTCGGCTCTTAAATTTCGTAAGGTGATGTTTTATAGCCTATAGCATTCCTCGACACAAAAAGATGCATTAAAATCGAACCAATAGTTCTGGAGATTAGCGCGTTCAAACAAACAAACAAACTCTCCAACCTGATAATATTAGTATAGATTATTTTGAGCGTGTCTTACCTTGCTGAGTTTTGACTTGTACGGGCGCGGACATCGGTCCAGGGCCCACGGATGTGAAGGCCTGCACCCTTATTGTGTAGACGGTGTGAGGAGTCAGCTCACTGATCGTGGTCAGATGACTGTTATCCATCTGTAAGGAACGGGGCATGTTAGTGATGGCCATGTTTTAGTGTAAACTTTGTGATCGATTGCTGTGAATAACTTATTCTGTTAGAGAAAAGGTTTTGCACAATACTAAGATTTTTTTCCTGTGCCTTGGGAGCGGTTTTACAATAAACATCACACCTAGTCCCGGAAGAAAAAATTATGGATTACGCGCAAAGTTTCTTCCGTCCGGAGCGCGGCGGTAGATTGCTAGTCAGTAAGATTATTATCAATATTTAACATTACAAATAAGATTGCAATGTTAGAGAAGGTTATATTTATGTTTTTGGATAATTATGTATCTCATCTTTAAGTTTTTTTTGCAACTTTGCAGGTCTCATAAAAATAAACGATTAGTTATTTTTAATATTATAATAATTTACGCAATTCTTATACATGATACGAATTTTGACTAGATGTAATAAAAGTTTTGAAAAACTTACCATTTGCGAGTGCCAGGATTGCATTGGTTGCGAAGGATCCGTGGTGTAGTAAATTTTGTAACCCTGTGCAGGAAAATAATAAATTATTTAAACAAAACCTTAAATGAACCATAAACATTTAATAGAGATGATAAAAACTTACACAGATAATAAATATATACTAGCATTAAAAAAAATGGTAATAAAACTTCTTTTTACAAGACGAACTTAATATAAATCCTTAGCGTACCTAAATCTCAAGTAAATAACGATCATATATATTCAAATTGCGGTTGAGCATTCAACCGTCACTGATATCACTTCCCCACTTCTAAAACACTTGCGATTTCATCAAAGCCGAATCCACAAGATCCAAGCACTTATACCGCGCAAACTTCGGGATAGGGCGATCAAATCTTGCAATCTAATTTGGGCAGAAACTACATTTAGAATTAGCTATTCCCTTACCGTAACTTGTCCGTTCGGAGTCTCCGGTTCGTCCCATTGTATCACCATTGTACTAGAACTTAGAGGCCGAACTTGCACATTCCGTGGAGCTGAACCCGGTTCTACGAAAAAAAAACATTCCATAAGTGATGCGCTTTTTAGTAACAAAATAACAACATAAATTAGTCGATTATAGAATTTTTGTTAACCACTTTCGCATGCGTGTTTTTAAAATAAGAACTTAATTGATACTGGCTGTATTCCATTTTCGAATATAACTCGCTGCTAACTGTCTATCAAAATGCAAATCTAATCAGAAAAACGTAGGGAACGTTTTATTATTTAAAAATGAGAGCGAGCCGAATTCGTTCAATTATTTATTTATACGAACTCAGGTAACTTCATTCACGTAGCAGTTTCATATTAAGATGAAAGAATTGTTCCAGACATGTTGGTAAGTAATAATCTTAAAATCAAATAAAATATAGAAAACATTTTTTAAAAGTGCTTTATTCAAAATCATATTCCAAATTGGCAGATCGAATTGAAATGTTACTGACAAGAACAAATAATTCAATAAGTACAACTGTTTAATAAAATTTAATACCCAAAATCAATATTAAAAATAAGCGAAATGATCAAACAATACAAAAGGATTTAAGTACAAATGAAAAGCTACAATCTTTAAACAGATGTTAATAGAATTACAGAGGAAAAGGATGCCATTCTTGTTACATGAACCGTTTAACATAATGTCCGTCTGACTCCTTCAGTTGTTTAGTACAAATAGTATGAAACACCCTACCGCTATTATACCAGTCGCAATAACACGTAAACATCCCAATGTTAAATTAAAAAGCGTCTCGACTCATCTCAATTATGAACATAATGAAAATAAAAATAATAGGACAATAACCGTCGCGGCACAATGCCCCGTCTTAATAGGATTTGTAATCGCAGCCTCTAACACGAAAAACGGAGCGTCACTCAATGAAAAAATCTCTTTTCTGTTTATAATACTCGCGAAGGGCAAAACAATAAAAGTTTAGGGACTGTGCAATATTAAAACGCCATAATCTTGTTTGGGTCCAGAATCCGGGTCGTCGACGTCAGCCCAAACTTTTCCTTTATTAGAAATGTAAAGAATATCAAAAGATCTGTTGGTAATTTTATATACCAACGTTTTCATTACTAATTCATCCAAGTTTTTATTTTGTCTGTTTTTTGACATCGCGCTATGGGGACGTGGGCGAGGTTTCATGACTCAAATTTAATATATTTCGTTGGGGAAATTAGATATGATGGTTTAACATTTACGAAGCGAGAAATGTTCGGGACGAGGATAAAGAAATGAAATTCCACCACAGGGTAATTGTAACGGTAAATATTTAATATGTAATTGAGGTGAACGAGCAGTCACACCAATTTTGTAACATATCGCGAACAAATACAATAAACATGCAAATTGTTAACGGAATACCTTTTGTACAAGCGATATATAGCTCCCAGTCGACGATTCAATGTATTACATTATTAGACCACCGAAATGTCATGCTACGAACGCCCAGATTTTAGAAGTTTTAGACGTAGACCCACATACAACGCCGTTAGGTAACTTACGAAAATTCATAGAATTATACTTACTGGCACCTCCATACAAGGAATCCACTGGAAGAGAGCAAGGAAACAAACAATATAATTAGTAAATCGAAGATCTGTAAACGGCAACACACATCACACCGAGTGCCGCAGAATAAGATTAAAACGTGTGACACAAACTGACCGCATCTCTGATCCTAACACTGATAAAAACGAAATGGTGCATGATAAAACGAACGAAAAACATTACGCTCTACGTCTAAGTACTAAAAAAGAAATTAAATGTGCAAATAAAATAAAATACTATGATAAATCAGAAGCGAACTTACATGAAGCATCGCCGAATGTAGTACGTCGTTTATACGCGTAGGCATGAAAAGACGATCAAAGAAAATACCTTAAGAACTGAGCGCAAGTAACTCAAAAACAGAAATCTATTTACCCAATTTTAAAAGCAAGATAAAATATAATTTTATACATGATGATATCGAAAGCGATGTAAGAGTAAATTAAATTATAACAAGCGTATGGGTAAATGCGTAGAAATGATAACTTCCCGTCGTCTATTGTAAATTGGGGATTATTAAGAAGATGGCGTTATTAAGATGATTTATAAATCTCGTTGGTCATAAGTAACTGAAGAAGAGATGATGATCTCGAGGGGTGGAGCTTGATAGAACATGTTATTGATGGCGTTCAGTTTATCAGAAGAGTTCCTATTTTCTTGTGAAACTTTACACTTTGTGATCGTTATAGAAACCATTTGTTTCGTTTTTTCATTTAGCGGGGTTAATATTGTAAGTTGATTAGAAGTCATCATCTACAGAGTGGCCAAACAAGTCTACTTTTTTATTAGTACGTACTTTCAAGTAGAATTTAGATACATTAGGTAAGCATTTTAGAATTAGTTTCTATTTCAAATAATTTCGCCTTCTACATAGCTTCTGATATAATAAACTAGAGGAATAATTTAAATTTTCATATTTTGAAATCTACTAGTACTAAAATACCTGTCGAACACTTCCATAGAATAGTACAATCGTAAGTCAACTTTATCATAAAACGATAAAGGTCAAAATCTATTGTGATCTAGTAATACGTTGGCTTTGCAATTGGAATGAGTCAGTTCAAACTGGTACATACCAGTTTCTCCAGTGGTGATGACGGCCGGCGCTGACGGTGGTCCTCTACCGATGTTGTTGACAGCAATCACGTACATTTCGTACTCAGTGTATGGTGATAGATTTGTCACCGAGTAATACTGAGTGATTACGCCTGAGATCTCGCTGAATGCCTGTTTTAAGAATATTAAGTAACACTTAATAACTATGGCTTACAAAAGGTGACAGTTTCGAATGCTCCAATGCTTCCTTGCTACCATTTTCGGGAGCTCTCCCCTCCAGAGACGATGACGCAATTAAATAGTTTTCTACATGGTTTGAATACTGTTGGTGTTACAAGATTACTAAGCTAAGACGTCCACCTAACATTAGGTGGGCCGCAGGAATAGAGCTTAATTGCTTGCTTCCAATAATCGCAGTATAAAAAACTTAGTCCTATAGGTAAACAATCAGCGCCGCCCATGGACACTCGCAATACCAAAGAAGTTACTACTTACTAGCACTGCTTACAAGTGCGTTGGCGGCCTCTTGGGGTTATTAGGGCCGTAAGGATAGAGATTTTAGGACTGAGGATTGAGAATGGGGAACAAAAATGACACTTATGTATATGTACATAAGTGTCATTTTTGTTAATCTGACGCTTAATAATTGTGCTATCTCACCTGATTGGCGTATTTGGGCTTGTATTGTATGACGTAGTACTGAGGTTCCTCCGGTCCGCTGTAGGTCCATGTGAGCCGGACTGTCGTCGCCGTGATCTCGGAGGGTCGCACTTCTGTCGGGGGACCGGGGAGCGCTGGTGGAAGAAACATTTTTAGAAGATAAAGTAAATAATAGAAACAAATTATATAATTATATTTCTGTCCCATTTTTTTATTTAATAAAAGTTGTCTAAAAGGTTGGCTTAGACCCCTCGTACGCCTGCCAGATAACTGTCTAACTAACACAAAAACTGTCTCAATCTTTCGACCTAGACTAAAGAAAAAAGCTTGTTTTGTAATAAAGCCGACAATGTCTAATTATAAGTTTGAAATCACCAATCTGCCTTCAGCAAGCTTAGGGAATAATGTAGAAGAGGCATATGCGGAGCAGTGGACACTTATAGGCTGGTGATGTGTATTATGAATAATGTTTTCACAAACACACTCAAATCTCTCTACTGGCTTGTACGAGTCTGTACAGGATGTTTCGCCTTGAAAAATTGCGTTGAATTATGGCTAAATCTTCTTCGTGTGAGAAGAGGCCTATGCTGAGCAGTGGACACTTATAGGCTGGTGATGTGTCTAATAAAAAATGTTTTCACAAACATTCCCAAATCTCTCAACTGGCTTGTACAAGTGTATACAGGATGTTTCGCCTTGAAAAATTGCGTTGAATTATGGCTAAATCTTCTCCGTGTGAGAAGAGGCCTTTGCTCAGCAGTGGACTTATAGGCTGGTGATGTGTGTTATGAAAAATGTTTTCACAAACACACTCAAATTTCTTTACTGGTATTAACAGGGTGTTATAAAAATTAAAAATAGATGGTGTCCTGTAACTTGCGCTATCCATAGAACAGTATACATAGACTTTAAGTATGTATGTAAACCTACTACAAACTGACATACAAACAGACAAACAACAATAATAACAATAACGATTAAACTTGCACAAAGTGTAATTGTCACATTAATATTGGATGCAAATTAATTGATGTTTAATTGTTTCGCTTTAATACGCTTAAATATTAACGTTTGCGGTACTTATGTTATGTAAGTACCTACAATTAGCAAATATACGAATATGTATGTATGTACCACTAACTCTATGGGTTTTATTTAGAAGTGTTATGTAATGAAGCAGGTGTAACAGGAAATATGTGTTCAGTACAGTTTAATTATTTCATTGTAATGCTCATCGTTATCGGTGGATATATTTTTCATTAGTAAAAATTGTGGTAGGTATATATAGTAGATATAGTTTTTTGAGTGGGGATAATTTGAAATCAGTCATTATTTTTTGAATACTTAATGAAAATTATCAATGCTTTTTCCCGCACTGTTGTCAATTTTTACTGACTATAAACTACTCAGTTTTTTGTCCTGCTACGGCCGTGGCTGACTGAGACGTTATGATGATTATTTTGAGCTATTTGTGTCAGTTATTCGTTTCTTCAATGGTCATGAACATCACAATTTAATCATGTATTTTGATTTTGGAATTACATATCTGTCATAGAACGGAGCCCAGCATTATGAAAAAGGGCTCATATTATAACTGAAGAAAATAGATTTTAGCACAACAATCTTGAGCAAGAACGTGTTCTTAATTTAAAAGTTTGATCACATTTATTATACTTTTTTTTTCTTTGATATTGGCTTTGCACGGCTAACTATACTTTTTTTAAATGTAACAAGCATTCTGATATTCGTAATTTGAACTCATTGCTATTGTTTGTCTATTGATGTGCGTGACGTGTTTATGATAGCATACATTGACTATGTTTGTACGTATGTATATTTATATTGCAGATAGGTATTAGTTTACCTACATTTAACATTTCCTGGAAAATTTAATTAGTAGCGTGTGCCAACTATAATAGCTTACTGAAACCAATATTTACTAACGATTTGAATTCTCTCTACCGTATTTATAGGATTATTAACTGTATTGTAGACTATCATAAAACCTTTCTATTGTTTATGGTTGTTTATGAAGCTAATTAAAAAAATGCAGGAAACGTAGATAATAAATGCAATATGTAGTGTATTTTTTATCTATCTTGTCGCAGGACCACAGGACGAAGTTTCAAAAGGACAATACAACATGTAGCTTTGTCTTTTATAGATGAAAGTCGTTTATAAACTGATAAATCAATAAATTTATTTATTATTTATTCATTCTAAATTATTTATACAACTATATAAACTATTTATTTTTTATGTCATTGAACGGCAAACGAGCTTTCGGATCACCCTGGTGGTAAGCAATCAGCGCCGCCCATGGACACCCACAACAACGTAGGAGTTACGAGTACGTTGCCGACCTGTTGAGGATTAGATTTTCGGAGATTTAGGGATGGGGGATAGGGGAGGGGAAGGATGGGGCCTCCTTACCGAAAGTCCTCATTCACACGATGAACACACAACTTTGTGGTTGTTTTACCCCGGTTTTCTGTAAGGTCGTCTTATCACTCCCGTTGAGCCGACCCATTGGTGCCGAAGCATGGGTAAGTCACGACAACAAAGAATTCGATATTCGAATTACCATTCAAACGGTTACGAACATTTCAAATTTCTTTAACTTAAAATGAGAGGGCGACACAAGCACGTCAGTTACTAGTATACTCTAATTAATCCGAGCAATTACCCGCGACTACGAGTCGAGTAGATGAGTGACTGAATCAAATTACACTCATAATTTCTTGGGATAACTGTTGCAAATTTATGGTAATAACTTCGGCGAGGTGGAAAGAGGGATTTACGAAAATCAATTTGATAAATTGCGGCAAGGCGAGAAGACATCCATTATGAATTAGTGTTATAATTCATAATTGAAAGGGTTGGAAAGTTGCGCGGGGCCCGGGAGACAAACGAATGTCAGCTTGATTAATGATTAATTATTGTAACTTGAAGCAACGTTTTCTCAATTTAATTTTGTGAACGATTACGTTGTTTTGTGCGTTTAGTGCCCGTTAGGTCGTGAAGAGTATTTTTAACTGTTGATAGGATGCGTTAATAGGAATAATGTTGGTATAAAATGAAGGAACTAAGCGTGTACTTACATTGCACTTTGACCTCAGCAACAGCTTCGATGACACCGAGCACACTAGCGGCCTCACACGTGTAGTTTGCAGACTCTCTGATATCTTCCAACTTGAGGGTGTTCAAACCTAGCGGCGGGTTGTCCTCCGGAGTAAGCCATTTCGTCAAACCTGTTAAATCAAAAATCACTTAATTTTTGCTGAATACTTCTTTTTCGAACATAGATTTTATTTACTACCCAAATAAATACTTTAAAATAAATGAAATTATTTGGCAAATATTAATTAAAGGTTATATTTTTACTTAGTTCTCAACCATAACTGATTGTTTTAATTTCAATGGCGTGCCAGGTTGCAAAAAGCCCTGATTTCAATTTTCAAATTCTCAACTAACATATTTTTTTTTAATATTCGTTCTTGACTATAGAAACATTCATTCTCTTACCTTTTCTCCATTTAACGGTGGGCATGGGCGATCCGAAGGCAACACATTTAAGGGTCAGGTTTCCTCCAAGCATCACCTCCGACTTTGGCGGTGGCGGGATCGAAAATTGTGGGGCTACGCGTCTCACTGTGAACAAGAAGAATATGTTATTTAAAGGGCAGTAGTAAGATATGGAGCTAAAATAAATAAAGACAATGTAAATAGTATAATTATCTTCGAAGAAAGGTAGCGATTTCTAATAAAACATTAAAATAAATCGAATAAAATATTATTACCCGGATAAACACAATCCATCATTTATCCTGGCCGTGAAAACAAAGTGCGTTTGTACCAAAACTAAATCATCTTTTCGACGCCTCGCATCATAATGACGCCGTCACTCCTGCATTACCACTCCATAATTAGTAAGCGGTGAGAGGGAGCTATGTGAGAAATAATTGCACTACTTCAGACAACCAATGAGCGTCACTAACAACGTTCACTCATTACCATTAAGTATTATGGCGGTTCATTCCGGCAGTGAGTGGCGTTCACAGCGCGTGCGAACTTGTTTGGTTTTGATACTTTATGGTAGGGTAGTTGACAGTTCAATAATGGCGGGAAACTAAACGTCAACGGAAACTAAAATTCATGTCAATAAATTAAAAAAAATACTGGGAAATTAAACAAAATATTTTTTAATTAATACATATTTTAATTGAATAAAATAATGACTGAGAGTGACAGTGAATTGACGATTAGAAAATGTAGAAATTAGAAATACGTAAGTAATTACAAAAATCTTTAAGCCAAACACCACCTAATTGCAAACAACCGAAACCCTTCAACGATCCTTAGCGGCAATTACAGTCAATTACCTTTACATTGCGGGCACTAATCGGTGGCAGGAGTAATGATTCGGGTCGGGACGCGCAATACCTCACTTACACTGCGAAGTCAACGCATACGACGTCATTACCCTGATTCACTCTGTTGATCTTTACTAGGTAGTCAGTGTGAGAATAAACGCGCAAAATGTTTGTTGGGAATGGTTTCTGTTAATTTGTATGGCAAGAGGTTAATGGGAAGGATTTTGAAGCAATTTACATGGAGCAAACAACGATTTGGCGAATGTACTGATGTGTTCCGTGCTTTGAAAGCTGTGTGGATGTCACATAGGAATATTGTGGTGTTTTCTGTACTAATATTATAAAGAGGTAAAATTTGTAAGTTTGTATGTAGGGGGCAATCTTTGGAACCGCTGGTCGGGTTGTCAAAATTCTTTCACTGATAGATAGCTACAATATTCCTGAGTGCTATAGGCTATAACACATCACGCTACGATCAAATGAAACTGAGCAACGGGTGAAACCGCGCGAGATTAGCTAGTTGACAACAAAAGTATGTGCGTAAGTTACTGATAAATCAGATATAAATTCATGAAATGTCTTCTCTTGCGATAGGCGAGAAGGTGTACCAGTCTCTTACTGAATAAAAACCACCCGTTCCTTCTTATGCTTTAGGCTAAGGCCGTGTAAGCTTAACCGGGTGATGATGATATTATGAAATATTGATGATAATATACCTTTCAAATTTTAAAATCAATCGATGTTCGTGGCTGTTCGTTTTGTTTATAACAAAAATATTCTTTTGATTTTCAGCAAGAATAAGTCACTTTCGCATCACTTAAGTTTTGTCATCAAATAAGTTATCAGTTAACAAAAGTAAAATCATGTTATTACGAATTAAGTTATACTATGAATAAGCCGAAAGACAGAGTTATTTAAACATCTAAAAAGCACTTTCGAATAAAAACATCGGTGATATAATAATGTTGATGTTTTTATTAACCGGTACCTACTAAGGAAAACTACTCTGTCCTTGAGGATCGGATTAAATTTTCCGCCTTTTCAAAAATGGTGCGAGAGGAAAATTTCTAAAGCGTTTTCTTTTCTATTTATAGAAAATTATGTAATCTTTAAGACTTTAAGGTCTTAACACACTCTCACGCTTTAAGTGTGGGAAAGTCATGGTTCGGCGTGAATGGGTCGGCCCGATCGAAGCTATACTACGGCCTCACTGAAAACCTGAGTAAAACAACCACAGGGTTGTGTTTCGCCATGTGAGTTAGGTTACCGGAGGCCCAATCCTTCCCCTCCCCAATCCCAAATCCCCAAAAGGAGGATTTAACTCCTAACTCTTACAGTATTGCGGGAGTCCATGAGCGGCGCTGATTGCTTAGTATCAGGTACTTAATCCGCGTGCTCGTTTGCCGACCGATCCACATAAAATAAAGTCTACTAGTCCGGTAACCTTATTCACGCAGCAAAAGTTGTTGTAACACGACCGACTAAAAATACAAGTTTATAATTTAATTATAAAAATATTTTATAATATTATAATCCGATCAAAATTCATATTCTGAATAAACACTTCACAATTCTTAAATCGATCACTGGCTCCCTAGTCCATTTAACTTGGGCAAGTGTTGAGCCGAGGTGCTATCCATTCCCTGTATTTCCGAGAACGTCTCTATCAAGTTAATTTGTGGAACGACACGATCAATTTCTTGACAATCTCCTGACCGATTCTACTATCCTGGTACTTACGCTTCAAATAGTTTATGTTTAGAGTAAATGTCCAAAGAAAAAAGTATGTAATAAATAGCTTACTAATATGTACTAGTAAACTTACGTGTTATTTAGCGACACGTGACCAAATCAATATAAATGTATGGTTTAAAAAACATATAACATTTATTTTGTTGAGTGAACATCAATTTCTATGATTAACACAAAATAAAACTCCTGGCTGATTCTGTTACACTGGTACTTGGTACTGGTTGAATGTCAAACGGTTCGTTGTACAAGATATTTTTTTTTATATTTATAATTTTGATTTGAATAAATTAATGTCGAATAAAATAAAATGTATTATGTAACTAATAATAAATATTAATATCGATGAATTATTAAATCATATACCTACTAACAAGCATTTCCAATAAAGCTGAAAGCCCTGGGTTGATAAATTTGAAGCTTTTCCATACTAAATGTAATCAAAACAAGTCTTAGTGTCAGTTTCACTAAGTTAACAGAAACATAACCAGCCATTGTTACACAGGCTTTAAAAAATTCGTAAGAGCCGAGAAATATTTAGGCAAATTATTATTGTAGGTTTCGGCTTATAGTGTCCAAGTTGTCAAGTAGCATTAAATTCGCGGACAAATTTTCAAATGGCTCAGGTGGACGATTAAGCGCTTATAATTTACTTACCCAGCTTGTATTTGGTTTAGTAATGTTCAAAATATGATTGATTTGACTACACTAAGTATTGTAGATGCGAAGGAGCGAAATAAGCTTTTTCTATACTAAGATTTTATGTGTATGATTACAAACACATATGGCACCGAGCTATTTAGACTTCAGTACTAACGATAATGTAAGGACTTAATCACGCTAATCTCCGAAATTAGTCGGTTGAATTGAACTATTATTTTGTGTTGAAGGAAGCCTATATAATATATCACGTTAGAGCCGAGTAGCGCGGGAAACAGCAATAAGTATTTGGTAAACAATCAAAAAATAAAATTATTATCATCGAAGGTAGAGGATGCACTGCTGCGTTTCTTAAACGTTTTGGGTCATACATACGAGTAAGTTAAATAAACATTTTCATCGGAATTGTCAGTAAGTTAAATACTATTTATAGGTACCAGAAAACTATAAATTTATTTCCAGAAACAATGTCAAAAATAATTTTATCACCATCAATTCACTTTTACGTTACTTTGTAAATAAAGATCATAAATAATATTTCAACGAAAGCTTTTAGCGAAAATACACTTTTAGTTGTTTTATGTAACAATTTATATTTAAAAATACACGGAAGATATTTTTAAATGGACCTAGTGGGAATATCTTGAAAGGGTTACGCCCACTTTTTACTAACTGTGACGTCATAACTTTTATCGCATTATTTTTTGTTGATAATTTTAACTTTAGTCAGTTTAAAATTATATCAAAGAAATTTAATAATATTATTGCTTCAAATGCAGACTGGGATTTGAGACTCCTTACTAATGATACTTAAATATTAAGCAGAGATTAAAAAATATATATATAATTTTAAATTTGGAACAAAATTCAGAAAAATTGTTGGCACAATTCGCTTGTATTGTTGGCGGATTAAAACAATTTTGTTGCAAGTTTTCTGAACAGAATTTCATTGTTTCTTATCACAATTCCAAAGTAAAACCAACGGTGTAAAATTACCGTGCTACATAATAATTTTCCTAAACATAAAGTCTCCTATTTCCTAAAGATAATTCTTTTTATGCATATAAAATTTATAAGTACCCGAACTCCGCAAGTTTCTAATTAAAAAGACAATGCAGGTTAGAGGCGTGTAATTTTCTTATTTAAAAAAATATTGCATGCGCGTCGTGGGCTGACCAAGTAAGGGTTTATAGAAAATTAGACTGTAAATGTTTATTACAATGGTTCACTTTGGTAAAACATATTCTCTACTTCATGTAAAGAGTATGTAGAACAAGACAGTCTTTATGTGTAATGGGGACAAGAACAATGTTATTGCAAAAAGGACTTTATTGTTTGGACAGAGAACATAGTTTTTAAAGTTCAGGTTTATTAGAACACTTTTTTAAATGAATGATTCCTAGTCACGTCTATAGTCTTCTTTGGATTTTTTTCTATCGCTGCATCGCTTAAATATATCCATAGGACCACTTAAAATAAAACTGAAAGACATTAGTATCTTCTAAATGAGTTAAACTTTCAGTTCAAAATATAGATAAGGTCGGCAAACAAGCAGACGAAGTACCTGATGGTAAGCAATCGGCGTCGCGCAACAACTAAGGGACTAACCGATAAGGGATTCGGATATTTAAGGATTGGAGAGGGAAAGAGGGAGCGGAAGGATTGGGCCTCCGCTAACCCCACTGACACAACGCTATGATTGTATCACGACCGTTTTCTGTGAGGCCGTGGTATCACTCCGGTTGAGCCGACCCATTCGAGCCAAAGCTTGGCTCTCCCGCACTTACAAGAAAAGTTTGTTCTGGTGTCATACTATGACTGGCCATCGATCAAATTGTCTTTATTACCTAAGAAATAAGGGTGAATTTT